TAGGTAGGACTTTTATAGCTAGAGAAAAGTCAATGCCTGGCTTCAAAAGACAGGCTGAATCTTTTATTAGGGGCTAATGTAGCTGGTGACTTTAAGTTGAAGCCAATGCTAATTTACCATTCCAAAAATCCTATCGTTCTTAAGTACTATGCTAAATCTACTTTGCCTATACACTATGAATGGAACAGAGCCTGGATGACAACGTATCTTTTGGGTATCTTTTTACCTGTTTACAGCATCATTAACTGAATATTTTAAGCCCTCTCGAGACCTGCTGCTTAGGAAGATTCCTTTGAAAATAGTACTGCTTACTGACAATTAACAATTCACCTAGTCACTCAAGAGCTCTGATGGATATATACAAGATGTTTTCATGCCTGCTAACACAATATTGGTTCTGTAGCTCGTGGAGCAAGGAGTAATTATGACTCTCAAGTCTTCTTATTTAAGAAATGTATTTCAGAACAGCACCTGTAGTTCAGTGGGTAGAGCCTTTGCCACATACACCGGGGCTGCCGGGTTCAAACCTAGCCCGGGCCTGCTAAAACTGCAACAACAACCACAAAAAATAACTGGGCACGGTGGCAGGGGCCTGTAGTCCCAGCTATTTGGGAGGCTGAGGCAAGAAAATCTCTTAAGCCCAAGAGTTTGAGGTTGCTGTGAGCTGTGACACCACTGCACTCTACCAAGGGCAATAAAGTAAGATACTGTCTAAAAAAAAGAATTGTATACAAATTGAAATGTCTGTACTGATGCTCAACACAACCAATAAAATCTCAATTACAAAAGGAAATAAAGGCTCGGTGCCTGTGGCTCAAACGGCTAAGACATCAGCAACATACATCTGAGATGGCGGGTACGAATCCAGCCCGGGCCCACCAAACAACAATGATGGCTGCAACCAAAAAATAGCCAGGCGTTGTGGTGAGCGCCTGTAGTCCCAGCTACTTGGGAGGCGGAGGAAGGAGAATCACTTGAGCCCAGGAGTTAGAGGTTGCTGTGAGCTGTGATGCTACAGCACTCTACCAAGGGCAGCTTGAGGCTCTGTCTCAAAAAAAAAAAAACAACAACAAAAGGAAATAAAAAGAAAAAGGCGTCAGGATTCTCATCATTGCATACCTCCAACCACCTAAGTCATCTCTGTTATCTCTGTTGAATTAGTAACAAAGAATTAATTCAAAACTTACTTCAAGGCCCTGGCTCAGCAGCTCAAACATGCAGAGGATTATTTCTATCTGATACTCTAGAATAGAAATAAGTAACAGAAACACTTAGCACACAGCCTGAAAGGAGACTCTGGAAGATGTTTTTGGAGGTGGCCAGTAAGGTGACTCACGCCTGTAATCCTAGCACTCTGGGAGGCCAAGGCGGGTGCCTTGCTTGAGTTCACAAGTTCAAGACCAGCCTGAACAAAAGTGAGACCCCATCTCTACTAAAAATAGAAAAACTGAGGCAAGAGGTTCGCTGACCCCAAGTTTGAGGTTGCTGTGAGCTATGATGCCATGGCACTTTACCCAGCATGACAGCTTAAGATTCTGTCTCAAAAAAAAAACAAAAACAACTTACTTCAGGCATGAGGTGGCTCACTCCTGTAATCCTAGTGCTGTTGGGAGGCCAAGGCCAATCCTCTTGGGAGGATTGCTTGAGCTCAGAAGTTCGAGACTAGCCTGAGCAAAAGCAAAACAGCTGTCTCTACTAAAAATAGAAAAAACTGATCAGGTATTGTGGAGTATGCCTCTAGTCCATCCATCTTGCTCAGAACTCATGTATTAGATTTTTCCAAGTGACTATTGGTTGCTAAACAGTCTCCTGTAACTAGAAATCCTAGGAGAGAACAAGAACGGTTTTATTGCTGCGTGCCTACATTTGTGCTTGTTACTTCAACCTGTAATGTCTTTCTCCTTTTCCTTTACCTGTCTATATTCTACTTGTCCTCCAAGATTCAGCTCAGACATCATATCCTCCAAAACCATCTTTTTTTGTTTGTTCTGTTTTTTAGACAGAGTTTTGCTTTGTTGCCCTTGGTGGAGTGTCATGGCGTCATAGCTCACAGCAACCTCAAACTCTTGGGGTCAAGAGATTCTCTTGCCTCACTTTTTCATTTTTAGTAGAGACAGGGTCTCACTTTTGCTTGGGCTGGTCTCAAACTTGTGAGCTGAAGCGATCCACCTGCCTTGGCCTCCCACGGTGCTAGGATTACAGGCGTGAGCCACCATGCTGGCCACCTCCAAAAACATCTTGCTAGAGCCTCCTTCTAGGCAGTGTGCTAATGTTTCTGTTACTTATTTCTTTTTTTTTTTTTGAGACAGAGCCTCAAGCTATCCCCCTGGGTAGAGTGCCATGGCATCACGCTCACAGCAACCTCCAACTCCTGAGCTCAAGCGAGTCTCCTGCCTCAGCCTCCCAAGTAGCTGGGACCACAGGCGCCCGCCACAACGCCTGGCCATTTTTAGGTTGCAGCCATCATTGTTGTTTGGCGGGCCGGGATGAGGATTCGAACCCGCCACCTTAGGTGTATGTGGCTGGCGCCTTAGCCGCTTGAGCCACAGGCGCTGAGCCACTGTTACTTATTTCTATTCTAGAGTATCACACAGATATAATCTTCTGCATGTTTGTCACACTCAATTTTTCAGGGCTAGGATTTGGTATCTCCTGGAAAATTCATAGTCCTTGATACCTAGTAGGTTCACCACATATTTTTTTTGTACTATGGTATTCCACTTTGTTTAGTTTAGATAATGCACACCCAACTGTACTCAAAACCTCCTTGTAACCAGATATCCTTATTCATGGAGGAGATATTTTACCATTCAGTTGACAAATATTTATTCATCCCTACCCCATGCCAATTACTGTAAAAAGTTTTGAGGACTTTGTAACAAATTAGGAGATATCATCCCTGCCCTCTCAATGTTCACAGCATATATGAGCTAGGAGCCAGACTTTTGTGCACAGTGCAGGCAAAATCGTCACCATAAAGGCTAGTACTACAGATTCAATGCAATCCCCATTAAAATACCAACAGCGGGCTCGGCGCCTGTGGCTCAAGCGGCTAGGGCACCAGCCACATACACCTAGGGTGGCTGGTTCGAGTCCAGCCCGGACCCACCAAACAACAATGATGGCTGCAACCAAAAAACAGCCTGGCGTTGTGGTGGGCACCTGTGGTCCCGGCTACTTGGGAGGCTGAGGCGGGAGACTCGCTTGAGCCCAGGGGTTGGAGGTTGCTGTGAGCAGTGAAGCCATGGCACTCTAACCAGGGTGACAGCTTGAGGCTCTGTCTCAAAAAAAAAAAAAATACCAACAGCATACTTAGAAGAACTGGGAAAAATAATTCTTCATTTTGTATGGAACCAGAAAAATAAAAAAAAAAAACCCGTATAGCCAAGACAACCCTTAGTAATAAAAACAAAGCTGGAGGCCATCACTCTACCACACTTCAGGTTATATTAGAAGTCCAGGCTTGGCGCCTGTGGCTCAAGTGGCTAAGGCGCCAGCCACATACACCTAAGGTGGTGGGTTCGAATCCAG